TGAAGTGAAAGGAAAGTGCTGATTAGTCACTGCATGCATTTATGTGTCAAAATCGATGCAATCTGACTAGGGTTGCCAGGTCCGAACAACAGGCCAGCGGGTGACTTACTGGGATGCTCTTGGAAAGGGGAGGGAAGCACACCATGTCTATGCCACCTCTGAGTGACGTAGGCACATTGGGGACCTAGCGGGTGATGTGTGCCTATGCCACCTGGAAGTGATGAGGGCACGTCGGTGACATCAGGGGTGATGCTCTGGTTTTGGGGCAAAACTCTATGGTTTGAAGCTAATTCTACCGTAGAGTTTTGCTCAAAACCCAGAGCATTGTCCCCAGTGTCTCCAATGTGCCTACGACACTTCTAGATGATGTAGGCAGGTCGCATACAGTAAGGGTGCGTTCAGACGGGGCGTTACAGCTGGCATAAACTGTACCAGTTGGAACCGTTGCAGTTTATGCTGGCTGAAACGCGATCACACTTACCTCCTGTCTGCGGAGCCCATCGCTGTACGCCCGTTTACACACAGCGGGCATCGGCGGGGTTTTTTTTTTTTTTCCTTTTCGAATGCGCATAGGCAGCCATCCACAGAATGGCGATCTTTGCGCATGCGTAAAAACCCTCTATTACATTTAAACTTTAAAGGTAAGGACTTACCTTTAAAGTTTAAAGAGCAAAGTAGCCTCCCTGAGGTCCCGGACGCCTCCAAAACACTAAACTAAGGCCCTTTTCTTTTTCTTTTTTAAACAAACGCCCGGGCGAAGCTTCGCCCAAGCGCATATCGCCGACCTAAAAAAAATGGCGAGCGAAAATCGGAAGCCTCGGGCTTCCGAACGGAAGTGGCTGTATAACGGTGGAGAGCAATCAGATGGGGGGGAAGCGATTACAACTGTTGCACTCAGGATACCACCACTTGGGGACCTAGTGGCAGAATACTAAAGCAGAGTTTAAAGCTCTTTGCAACGGTTAGGGACGGAAGGCAGATGTTCGTCGTGTGAACGCCGGTAAGTACACCGATTCCAACCGGCACCTATACCATTGCAAATGCCCCATCTGAACGCACCCTAACTCTCCCCTGCCGGCCAGTTGCCCAGTGCCAGGAGGGAGTGCAGGAAACCGGGGGAACTCTGGCATTTGGGGGGACCCAGCAACCAATGCTCCCTCTAAGCTGTGGAGTCTTGTGAGCAAAAATTCTACTTTGTGAGCTACTGGCATTAAAGTTGTGAGCGAGTGATTGCGCTACAGCATAAATCAGTTGGCTCTGGAGCCCTCCTTCCTGAGCGAAGACAAGAATGTGTGAGCTGGAGGCTAAAAAACTGTGAGCTAGCTCACACTAACTCAGCTTAGAGGGAACACTGCCGGCAGCCCTAAATCTGACCAATTTTAACTCCAACCCTCTTTGTAAGAGTCTCTCTCTCTTTCTCTCTCTCTCTCTTTCTCTCCCTCACCCTCAAACACACATAAGGAAAGAGAATACTGAGGGCATTTTCACACTGTTAGGTAGTTGTGTAAAGTGCCAACTTCCCCTATTACAAAAGAAGGCCTTCTGGTATGTTCCTGTTTGCACTGAAAGCTTCTCAGTCTTTACATATATAATCTCCGGAACAATCATCACAAGACTGCAAACACAATACTCAACCATCATGGGGTCTTTTCTTTCACAGCTAACAGAGAATGGAATGCACCAGTGGCATGGACGCTGTGCCAGAGAAGCCCTGAAAAGTTGTCAATATTAACTTTCCCTGAGTGTACACATCAAAATGTGTCAATACAATTGTTCTTGTCTTTGCACTGGAGTGGATGGAATGTTTCATGCACCAGTGCACACAGGAACTCACCAGCACTCCTTAAGATCCAAAAAGAGGAAGAAATATCCTTATTTGGATAGTTTGCACAGGTTTAAGCCTGCACTAGGCTTGCCAAGTCCCCCCGGGGGGCGGGGAAACCCCCGCCCCTGAGGCCCGTTCCCCACCGGCGGATCGGGCCCTGGGGGGAACCCCACCCTGACGTGCACATCACCCAGAAGTGACGCGACCATGCCGGGCACGCTGGGGACGGGGCCACGGTCATCCGAGGGAAAACTCTATGGTCCCCCGCTGCGGCGAAGACCGCACTTGGCAACCCTAGCCTGCACAAAGAAGCCATTGCAGACAAGAGTAAAGCAGTTACGAAAGCTCAAGTTTGTTAAGAGGGCGTGGTGATTCCTGCCCCCTTTCCACTGCAGCCCACTGATTGCATCCCATGCAGGGGTGGATTAAGCAGACTAGGCACGTGCTTAGGGCACCAGGGCCAAAGGGGGCACCACAAAGTTGGGGAAAGGGTGAAAAGAAAAGAAAAAACGAATGAAGATTTGTAGGTCTTTCTCACAACTGAAATGTGTAAAACGTGGGGAAAAAACCCAAATAGATCAGTTATGCTTCAAGAAAGACTCAGCTCACTGTGTATATTAACAACTGAAGCAGACATTCTGAGAGGTATTAATTTTTGAGGATATGATAAGAACATAAGAGATGCCAATGTTGGATCAGGCCAAAGGACCATCCCATCCAACACTCTGTGTCACACAGTGGCCAGAAATACCAGTGCCATCAGGAGGTCCACCAGTGGGGCCAGGACATTAGAAGCCCTCCCACTGTTGACCCCCCCTAGCACCAAGAAGACAGAGCATCACTTGCCCCAGAGTCCCTATCTATACCTTGTGGCTAATAGCCACTGATGAACCTCTGCTCCATATGCTTATCTAGTGCTTATCTAGTGCTTAATCTAGTGATCAGTGATTTTGCAAAAATGAAACATAGAAAAATGCCTTTCAGGTCATGAATATTGGAACGTTGATACCTTTAACTTGTGAAATATTAAAACAGATGTTGTATTGCATTTTTGTAGAACTTTATGTAGAACTTTATGTAGCCCAAGCTTGGCTTAGTTTGTACAGTATATTTTTGTACTGCTGCAAGCTGCATTGTCTATCTGGTCAGACAGGTCTACAACTAAAATGGACTGGGTCAGCATGGAAAGGAGGGGGGCACCAAGATTGGTCAGTGCTTAGGGCACCAGTGAGCCTTAATCTGCCCCTGATCCCATGCGCCAAGAGATGCCTTCCAGAATCCCTGGCAATGTCCCCTAGGACTTTGGGACAGACAGTATGGATTGTGTGGAGCTGTGAATGAGCCTGCCATGTGACCCAGGGTTGTGAGGCATAGCTCTCAGGTCGCTCTGCTTGACTGGTGCCCCAAATGTATCACTTCCTGCACCCATAGCTTGGGTTGCCTGGTACAATGATGCTGGTCCTGGACCTGCTTTTTGCATGCGGCACATTTGAATCTGTGAGGGGAGAGGCTGTTAAAACAGGCCTCTGCTTTTATAAACCTCAGCTGATTTAACTTCACAGTCCTTAAGAAATGTTTGCAAAAATAGTTCTTTAGTCTGCAGTTAGGGCCCAGTGAAGAACGGGCCTCCGCTCAGTGGTCCTAGACAATTTGACAATGCAGAGCCTAAACTTCTGAAAAAGAAAATGGCGGTATATTTGCTATTATTTCAAATTGTCAGTTCCATAACAATTTCCAAAACATACAGATCGGAAAATTAAGACCTAGAATTGTAGCTGACTGCCATATAAATGCATTCAGTTATCATGCAACAGTTAACAGTTACGGCGCTGATAAAATCTCTCGCTTGGATCTTAAAGGGCTGAAGAGAATAAATTCATGTGACGGTTGAAAGTAACAAGAGAACGTCAGTTTGCTTGACCGCACCCCAGCCAATTGCGATTTGTTGAAATGCCTGTGCTTGAGGATGTTTTTGCAAGCTGGTCTAATGATCAAATTAACAGATATCCACTCTGGATTGTTCAAATTGCTATCTCCACCAGACTGCATGCTTATTTGCCCTTTGAAGTTCTTCAGACATATACTGTGAGAACCTTGACTGCCTCCTTTAGGAGTTCCAGTGATAAATAATGCAAAGCAACACCTTGATGTCGTTTAGTTGCATACATTATCTGCTTTAAGAACACATGGTGAACATGGCATATCTGTGATGGACAGAGGCCGCCAGGGGTCATTTCATACAAAAGGAGGTGCAGGAGCTCATGAGCATAACTCATTAGCATAACTTATTTGCATATGCCACTCCCCCTGACATCACCGGATGTGTGTCAGAAGGCAACACCCACCGCTCAGGCTCCACTGGACTGTTTTGGATTGCTAGCTATTGGGGGGGGGGAAACGTGCAGATCTGTCCTCGCAGAGGAGGGAGAGCTTGTACCTGAATAAACCTTGGCCTTAAAGGACTGTTTTGGACGGGGGGCTCACTTGGTCTTAAAGGTGCCACTGGACTGTTTTGGACTGGGTGGGCTCTGCAACTTACCTGGCTGCTTCTTGCTCTGACTGAGGGCTGCTGGGAGCAGGGGGTGGGGCTTGTTGCATGTGCCTGCCCCCTGGGCTCTTTACTGCTGGAGCTCCGCTGGAACTGCTGGTTGAAATAAAGCTAGAAACGCACTTGAATATTAGCAGGAACAGGAGCAGTTCTCTGTCCCAGAAGGTGGGACTGGGATATGATTTCAGAACTCAGGATCTGCTTTCATCTTGGAAGGCTGGCATTGGGACCATGGGAGGCTGTGTTTACATGCAGCTGAATTAAACACTCATGATCAGTGTTCCCTCTAAGCTGCGTTAGTGTGAGCCAGCTCACAGTTTTTTAGCCTCCGGCTCACACATTTTTGCCTTAGCTCAGGAAGGAGGGCTCCAGAGCACACTAATTTATGCAGTAGCCAAATCACTCACTCACAACTTTAATGCCAGTAGCTCCCAAAGTAGAATTTTTGCTCACAGGACTCCACAGCTTAGAGGGAGCATTGCTCATGACCAGGATGTGTAAAATAAAATTTAAAACAAAAGCGTCATAGATATTCAAGAATTCTAGACCACAGTGAGAAGAGGCTTCACAATTACATAGGCTGGGGTTCACAATAGTTATGTTTTCCTTTTTTCCCCCTGTCCATAGAGTTTATTTTCCTTGCTATGTTGGACTGGCCGGGCATCTTGCATGCGTCCTGATGGTCCTCCTCTTTATTCCTGCCCAGACAAAATCACAGCCCAAAGGAAATGCTGCAGAACAAAGTGAGTGCTTATAATGCTGGGCGATTTCAGTAGAAAGAGGGGGTCTGACAGACTTTCAGCGCAATGCAAACCAGAGTGGTGCCCTTCTAAACTTAGGAGTTTCAGTGGACGTAGAAAGGTGTGACTCTGTTTAGGGTTGTGCTGTAAAGAGATGAGTAAGACTCCATAAGAGAATCTGATATGAAAATGAAAATAAATTTTTTTAAAAAGAGTTTAAACTTTTTAAAAAGTCTGACTACACAATACACATTCCTTGGGTTGGGTATGGGAGTACCATGAGGGCTGTCAGACGTGCACTTGCAAGTTCTCTGCTGGGAACACAATTCCCAGGCGCGTGGGGCTTGACTGGGACTCGGGCTGCCAGATTTCTGCTGCTGGTATGGAGTCATCACTTTTGTGACAGGGGGTTTATTTTGGTTAAAAACGTGGCATAGACATATGTGAAGGTACTGGGTTGAATCCAGACCAAATTGGAAATTTCCAAAGATTTCCCCCTCCCACTTGCAGACCCCCTTCATGTTATTCCTCAAGATCCCTTATGGCCCTAGAAGCAGCATTTAGTGGAGAGCAATGAGCTGCAATGGGGGGGGGGGAGAAGACAGAGTTTGAATCCAACCCATTTTCAAGGCTGATTTAGAACATGAAAAATTAATGTATCAGGGCAAATTTCCCATCTTCCAAAGTGTAATGTATCCAGTCCAGACAAGTCGAGAGACAAACGTCGAGCTTCGCTCCAAGAGACAATGGACTATGCGGATCCTAGCCCGCTCCAATCAGGGGGCTAGGTTCCCGGCCGAGAGCCTATGGGACTCTCGGCCACTGTAAATAACCTATAGGGAAGTAGGGGTGTGTTTTGGGTGGCGGTTTCTCGGGGGATATAAGCCGGCCTGGGAGCCGGTCAAAGTTGTCTTCTTCCAGATAGAATACGCTTTGCTGAAATCACTCTCTGTTTGCGTACTTTTCACTGTGCAAAATACCTACTGCTTCTTTCCATTTGAGTCAGATCCTTTGCCTATTTACTTGGAAGCAAGTTTTCACTGAATTCAATGGCACTTGCTCTCAAGTAAGTGTAAGTTGAGCCAGCTTTTTCTCAGTCTACTGCATCTGTGTTCATTTGCTCTTTGCACGGGCGAGCAAAATACCTACTGTGTGCCAGCGTTCACCTTGAGAATATTTACTTTTTTCTAGAAAGCACTGCCTTAGGTCTAGAGCATTCCTTATGTAGAAAATAGGCGTTCAAATCTCATTGGCCTAGTGCGTTACTGTTCTGTCCCACAATTTGCCCCCTGTGTTTCATCAGAAGAGTAATTAAAGCAGGCAAGGGGTTGATGGCAGTGATGGTCACAGTCATACTGGTATTGTCCAGCCAGCTAGTGAGCATGTGAGATGTCTTCATAACCAATGTCCCCTCTAAGCTCTAAGCTGAGTTAGTGTGAGCTAGCTCACAGTTTTTCAGCCTCCGGCTCACCCATTTTTACCTCACCTCAGGAAGGAGGGTTCCAGAGCAAACTGATTTATGCAGCAGCCAAATCACTCACTCACAACTTTGATGTAGGCTTGCCAAGTCCCCCCAGGGGGCGGGGAAACCCCCGCCCCAGAGGCCCGTTCCCCGCCACCGGCGGATTGGGCCCTGGGGGCAACCCCACCCCGATGTGCACGTCACCCGGAAGTGACGTGACGACGCCGGGCACGCTGGGGGCGGGGCCACGGTCATCCAAGGGAAAACTCTATGGAGCAAGCCGGGAGTCCCCCGCTCCAGATACTGGTAACACTTGGCAACCCTACTTTGATGCCAGGAGCTCACCAAGTAGAATTTCTGCTCACAAGACTCCACAGCTTAGAGGGGAGCCTTCTTCATAACCCCTCAGTAGCCTTTTGCCTCAATCGCTGTAGAGGTGAGGCTTGTCAACCTCGGGCAGCTGTGTTGGCCTGTTACAACCAGTTCTAACTGAGTAAGCAAAATTATGCATGCGTTAATTTCATTTTTAATTGTATTAATACGAGCCCAGCATTTACAAGGCCTTTGTGCCTCAGCATTTTTTTAGACTGGCTAACCGAGAAGAAAGATGAGGAACAGGAGCTTGGGAGGGAGGGAGGGCCGAGGGCGAATCCCTTGCCTGCAGCTTGTTTCCCTTTTAAGTACGTAATAGGCCTGCAGACTTCCTATAGCGTTCAAGGCCTCCGGTTCAGATTGCAGAGTGGGGCGTGCTGGAACAAAGAAGCGTCCTTTGACAGAGTCCAAGCGAGTCACCAGCCACGTCTGTCTAACATGCCAGTGGCTTCTCTGAGTAGGTGCAGATGTCAAAAATAAAATGGAGGGCTCTACAGACTACGAACCAAGAAGGGCTAAGCTAAACCATATATATATAAGTACAAATATTTATTAAGGTGTACACATGTTAAAACTTTCCTGATTAAAAATTACTTTGTCTAAGATCAGACTATAAAAGCTTATCCTCTGTACATACATATGATGGGTAAATACTTTATAACTGAAGACCAAAGGGATAGATAGATAGATAGATAGATAGATAGATAGATAGATAGATGGATGATAGATAGGTAGGTAGGTAGGTAGGTAGGTAGGTAGATAGGTAGGTAGGTAGATAGGTAGATAGATAGATAGATAGATAGATAGATAGATAGATAGATAGATAGATAGATGATAGATAGATAGATGATAGATAGATAGATAGATAGATAGATAGATAGATAGATAGATGATATATAGATGATAGATAGATGATAGACAGACAGACAGACAGACAGACAGATCGATAGATAGATAGATGATAGATAGATAGATAGATGATAGATAGATAGATAGATAGATAGATAGATAGATAGATAGATAGATAGATAGATAGATAGATAGATGATGGCTCTTTTTGTAGCAGGAACTCCTTTCCATATTAGGCGACACACCCCTAATGCAGCCAATCCTCTAAGAGCTTACGGTAGCCCCTGTAAGAAGAGCTCTGCAAGCTCTTGGAGGATTGGCTACATTAGGGGTGTGTCGCCTAATATGCAAAGGAGTGCCTGCTACCAAAAAGAGCCCTATGAGTTGGCAATTCAACTACTCAGCCGGGGAGCAGGAGTGATGTTGCACTGCAGAAGCAGGTGGGAACGTAGGCCTTATGCTCCGCAGAGCCGGCCCCATGTCCTCTGCTGCTCTTATTCAGAAGGACTGCTTGTTCCACTTGTGGCATTTGTGCTGCAAGTTGATCACCCTGCTAAAATTAATATCCACCCCCTGTGTCATGGGGTGGATGTTGCTGGGCATACAAACTGAGGAATTCTGTAAGTGTCAAGTTGAAGTCCACGGACAATACAACACGGTGGTGGGGACTGAAGTGCGAAAGGGTACGGGCTTAAAGGCTGTCATTAAAATATGTGAAAGGGTGGGAGAGAGAATGGATTCATTCCGAATGCTCACTACTAAATGTTCAGCATGTATCATTCCCCTCCCCCAAGAATTCACACTCTCTTGAACTTAGCATTTTAGGAATCTGAAGCGGCAATCCATCATGTATAGAGTTGAGGATGGGGATAGTTAAGATTCAATCATACTATGCAAAAACTGTACATTATGTTAGAGATACCCTGATTTGTAGCTTAACTTGAAGAAGCAACTGTGGGTAAAAGGAAGGCCAATTTCCTAACTTGAAATGTGGGTAAAAGGAAGGCCAACAGAGCCAGTTTGGTGTGGTGGTTGAGTGCAGGGACTCTAATCTGGGAGAACTGGGTTTGATTCCCCACTCCTCCATTTGCACTTGTCTGGATGACCTCGGGCAAGCCGTAGCTCTGATAAGAGCTGTTCTTGAAAAAGAGCAGTTTCCGTCAAGAGCTCTCTGAGCCCCACCTACCTCACAGGGTGTGTGTTGTGGGAAGGGGAAGGGAAAGGAGTTTGTAAGCTGCTCTGAGACACCTTTGGGTAGTGAAGGGCGGGGGATAAATCCAATCTCTTGTTCTTCTTCTGCCTCACAGGGTGTCTGTTGTGGGGAGGGGAAGGGAAAGGAGTTTGTAAGCCACTCTGAGACTCCTTTGGGTAGTGAAGGGCAGGGTATAAATCCAATCTCTTCTTCTTCTTCCTCTTTTATGGATGCAATAAGTACCAGAGACTTCACATTGGGGATCCAGTCCCCAATGTTATGTATAGTTTTTCCACTAGACTTTACAGGTACCCGCTTCTATTGGTCAATTTCCCACCCGAAGCCCCGCTGCCACATTTTGACCCTTTGAGGATCACGAAACCGCGGCGGAAATAGTGCGAAGCCACGGGTCAAAATGCGGCAGCGCGGCTTCGAGTGGGAAATTGACCAATAGAAGCAGGGCAAAGGGAGGCACGACCGCGGCGCAGCTCTTGTGTGAAATCGGTCAAAGTTTTTCTCTTCGCGTTAAGAATAAAAATCTTATTCTGTTGTTTCAATATTCATAAAGGTAAAGCTATTAACAATGCAAGAATTTGTAATGTAATATAAACAGTTCTTCTTGGATTTAAGCTATTTTTTGCCTTTCTTTCCTTTCTTCTTGCTTTTATAGTCCCGAGGGGGTTTGGGTGCTGTTGCTCCGAATTCTGATTTGGATTCAACTTCCGAGCTGCCATCTGTGGATGTTTCACGACTTCCCAAGTCCTGGGAGCTATCCACTTCTCCTTCTTCTTCTTCTTCCTCTGTGTTCTTTTTGTCTTTTTCTGAATCTTGCTGTCTTTCCAAAAACTGCTTCGCTTTAATAAGAGAGTCAATTTTTTCTGTTTTGCCTTTACAGTTGAACCCTGCAACACTTTTCCAATCTGAATCATGACTCTATGGTACGTGGGAACTTAGTTCCCAGCAGCAGCTGCATGTGTAAAACATGTAACACATCTAGTTTGTCCCCTAGACACATCATTTTATTTTGCAGAGATGAAGCTCTGGAGCACAATGTTGTTCAAGGTGCCGTGTATTTGTGTTTTGGGTGGAGGAGGGTATCCATGTTACAGAGAAGGGAGCATTTCTAAAAAAACAGGTCGTGGTGGTCACAGGCCACTGCTTTACAGTCACTATCTGGGTCAACAGACTTAATCTCCTCCCTATCTCTCTCTCTAGGCACGCCCCATTCCAGCGATGTGTTTAGCCTCAAAGAAGTCCTAAGACTGTTGAAGCTTCCAGGAGTAATGGATGTTTTCTTAATCAAGGTGCTTTCTGGTCTTCCGATAGGTAAGGTAGGCTCCGTGTTCTGCAGAAGATAACCTGCCCTCAGCAGTCGGCAAAAATGTATTTATTTAGCTTCATCCGCAACACTTAACGTTGCAGAATGCAACAAAAAAAATTACTGGGCCAGATCACACATGACAGCAGCCACCATGCAGTCACATTGGATGTATACAGGACCATCACAGAACTCTCAGCAGCTGTGTGTATACCATCCCTGTCAAGGTGCTGGTTCACTCAAATGGCACCTCCATACGGATCCAGTGTTGGCCCAGCTTGTATACCGGTAAGAGTCGCTCGAAACAAAGAATACCGAACTCTTCTGTTGCATACAGCCATTTAGGGTGGAGGCAGGGTCCCCCGGGGGGACTTGGCAAGCCTATGGGTAGGCTTCTGTAGTAGTGGATGCATCTCAACCTGTTTCAAGGCTGGGGAGGTTACCCATTCCCTCAAGAAGGTATTAACTACCCACTCAGAACCAGTCAGTCGCCGCCCTGGCAGATTTATGTAGTCAGAAAGGACAATTGTCACACAAAGCAGGTGGTAGGCCTCAAACCTCCAGTCCGCATCCTCAGACTGAGTATACAGTAAAGTATCCCAGACTGCTGGACAAGTCAACACCAATGTTCCCTCTAAGCTGTGGAGTCTTGTGAGTAAACATTCTACTTTGTGAGCTACTGGCATTAGTGTTGTGAGCGAGCGGTTTGGCTGCTGCATCAATTAGTTTGCTTTGGAGCCCTCCTTCCTGAGCTAAGGCAAAAATGTGTGAGCCGGAGGCTAAAAAACTGTGAGCTAGCTCACACTGACTCAGCTTAGAGGGAACATTGGTCAGCACCCCGGCACCATCTGACCCTGCCACCGCTCATACGGAGTCCAACTCAGTATGGAAGTGAGACATCTTATCTGAAAAGCATTGAGCAAAATGGTCCTAGTGGGCCACCAAGCAGTCCATCTCCTGCTGCAGGCCAAATCCCAACAGGCCTCTGACCACCCAGAAGAGCTCTGCTGTCTTACACGTTGCAGACCAATGGTGATGGGGGAAAATAAATGTTTCCTTTGCCACCATCACCATCACAGAGTATGCTTTCAAACGAGCTGCAGCCCGTATCTTGTCAGATTCGTCCTGAGTCTTCCTCTACCGGCCCTCTAGCTGTCTCCCTTGTCTTTTCATCAACTGCAACCCTTCAGTAAACCAAGGGGCTACCTGAGCGCTAAGTAGGGTTGCCAGGTCCAATCATTGCGCCAGTGGGGGAGGGACTTTCCAGGAGTGGGGAGGAGCATCGCAACGTCAGGCATGTCGGGGGACAGCGCTCTGTGATTGGGGCAAACCTGTATGGCAAAATTCACTTCAGATCAGAGAGTTTTGCCCAAAAACCAGAGCGTTCTCCCCCCCCCCCGATGTCCCCAATGTGCCTATGTCACTTCCAGTTTTCATAGGCACGTTGCAATGATTTCCGGGTCCATGCCAGTAAGAGGGGGTTAATTGGGCGGAGAGGAGCACCCCGGACCAGGAGACCCCCCACCTGCACCGGGGTTTCTGGCAACCCTAGCTCTAACACTTGAGAAAAGGAGCCTAGAAACAATTTTGTCAGCTGCTCAGATCATTTTCTCATTCCAGGACGTCGACAGGAGCATCAGCTCTATCAACAGGGAAATCCCCTAGAGAAATCAAAAAGCCCTTTGGATCCACCTGGCTCTGGGGGCGGATCGTTTTAATAGATCTCCCACCCCTGCAGAATCTTGGTATCCCTGCAACTCCAGACCCAAGCAAACAGTGATCTGTCCACGACAAAGGAACTGTCGTCACTTTCTCCAGGCTTAAATCACATTCATCACGTCCAGAACAAAATATGAGATCAGGAATGTGACGTGCGCGATGTGCAGGCTATGAAACCCTAATCCACTCCCGATAAGATAGCTTCAGCATGAATGCTGAAGTCCCCAAGGACAGCCAGTCTAAGGGTCTTAAATGCCATCCTTTGGAGAATCTCCTCTGTCAGCTCAGGCTGGGAGACTGTTAGGCAGTGGGGTGGGCAGTCCAGCAGCCAAATCCCAATCCTGTCTGTCAATCCCAACATTAAATACACAACCTCAAATCTGGAAGTGAGGTACCATGCTAGAAGGACAGAGTCCCTATATAGACTATAGCAGGGGTCATTTCGTAGAAAAAGAGGTGCAGGAGCTCATTAGCATAACTCATTAGCATAACTTATTTGCATATGCCACACCCCCTGACATCACCGGACATGAGTCAGAAGGCAACACCCACCGCTCAGGCTCCACTGGACTGTTTTGGATTGCTAGCTATTGGGGGGGGGAACGTGCAGATCTGCCCTCACAGAGGAGGGAGAGCTTGTATCTGAACAAAACTTGGTCTTAAAGATGCCACTGGACTGATTTGGATTGCTAGCTATTGCGGGGGTGAACATGCATATCTGCCCTCACAGAGGAGGGAGAGCTTGTACCTGAACAAAACTTGGTCTTAAAGGTGCCACTGGACTGTTTTGGATTGCTAACTATTGGGGGGGGGGACATGCAGATCTGTCCTCGCAGAGGAGGGAGAGCTTGTACTTGAATAAAACTTGGTCTTAAAGGTGCCACTGGACTGTTTTGGATTGCTAGCTATTGGGGGGGGGAACGTGCAGATCTGCCCTCACAGAGGAGGGAGAGCTTGTACATGAAGGCGGGCCGGGGGGGGGGCTCTTCAACTTACCTGGCTGCTTCTTGCTCCTCGTGGCCTGACCGAGGGCTGCTGGGAGCAGGGGGCGGGGCTTGTTGCATGTGCCCGCCCCCTGGGCTCCTTACTGCCGGAGCTCCACTCCTATGCGCTCCCGCAGGAAATGACCCCTGGTGGTAGAACAGGCGAAGTGGTCTTCTGCCTCCACCCCAGTGCTGCTTTTGCAGCGACAAGCGTTCCACTCCCTTCCCTGCAAAGGCAAGCGTGTCATTGGAGCCTCTGTTCTTCAAAGCACCAGGCTGGCCCAGGGCCTCCTTGTCCTCTGGAGAATTCCACTGTGATGCTGATCCAACCTTCTGTCATAGGAGATCTCAGCTGGAGGTGATTTGGCTGCTCTCCACATATTCGTACCTCGGTGCCAGAGGGATAACCTGCAAATAGATGTTCTCATTTATTTTCATCTCCCTGTTCCCACCGTATAATTATTTTTAGTAATGTGCATACATATGAGCCTAAATTACAGCGTTGCATTCATTTATATTATAAGCAAGGTTGTGATGTACACAGATACGGTCCTCTCATTGATGGTGTTCTTTTAAGCAAACTAATTTTGGAAAGCAGGACTGCTCGGCATGAATTATGAAGGTTGTGGAGTTGACCTAGGCACACTCCCCTAGGGGAAAGCGCCACTGGGCGCAGTGGGTTTTACCTAACGTGTTCACAGCATGACCAGAACCGACAGACTGAAATTAAATCAAAAGAGTTTTTGTCTAAAGATCAGGAAGGTTTTCCTGACACTGAAAGAGGTTCCTTGGTGGAACAGGCTTCCTCGGTAGGTGGTGGGCTCTCCTTCTTTGGAGGTTTTAAAGCAGAGGCCATCTGGCAGCAATGCTAAGTCTGTGAATTTAGGCAGATCATGAGAGGGAGGGCAGGAAAGGATGAGCCAGTGCTTGGATCTTGTGGCTCCTTCTTATATGCCCAGGCCACTTTGGGGTCAGGAAGGAATTTTCCTCCAGGCCAGACTAGCCCAGGGATCCTGATGATTTTTTTGCATTTTTTCCTCTGGGCATAGAGCAGGGAGTGGGGGAATGGGGGTGGGGGTAGTATGAATTTCCTGCATTGTGCAGGGGGTTGGACTAGATGATCCCTGAGATCCCTTCCAGCTCTATGTTTCTATGGCATTGTACATGAGTTACCTGAACCTCATCAGTGCCTTATTTAAATATCATAGTAGTAGTAGTAAAGGTAAAGGTTCCCTTGTTCGAAAGCCAGTCGAGTCCGACTCTAGGGTTGCGGTGCTCATCTCCGTTTCAAAGCCGAAGAGCCAGCGCTGTCCAAAGACGTTTCCGTGGTCATGTGGCCGGCATGACTAAACACCAAGGCGCACGGAACGCTGTTACCTTCCCACTGAAGTGGTACCTATTTATCTACTTGCAATTTCTTGCTTTCGAACTGCTAGGTTGGCAGGAGCTGGAACTAGAGACGGGAGCTCACTC